TGTTGGAGAGCTAACTGCTGGCCAAATAAATAAAATAAGAACAAAGACTGTTTTAACAACCAATCATAGCAGACTTTGCGTAGGCGGATACAAGTTGCAGATAAACAATCTGAACTTCAATTAACCGCCACAAAGAGATGAAGGATTAACTTTCAGTGAGAAACAATCAATTAGAAGACTGTGTTTGTCTGCTAACAACAATAATCTGTAATAACGTGCATGAAAATCTATAAATGTGTGTTGATTTGCTTAATAAACGATCTTTTGCCTGACCCTTGTCTTCTGTTGTTACACTTGTAGCTTTGAGATGAATTTGAAGCGTGTTGGCTTAAACAGATAAGAGCAGAAATGATCCTGAAATCGTTACTCAGAGTTTCTGTTGAAGAAGCCACGTCTTCCATAGATAACGAGTGCTATTCATGACTTACGAAATATTTGTAATCCTAAAAGGATGCGTCTAAAATCAAATTCTAACTCCTCTATCTCTAACGTTCCTCAACAATTACAATAGTCATTTCGTATGAACAATAACACTCATATATAAAACTGAAAGTTATTGCTGCAATATTTCAGATTGGTCAGCCCGTTCTTAGACATTTTTAAACATTTTGTTTTAAGAATATGGCGCTTTTTAATTCAAATCAGCCCACTTTACTCTGATTGGCCGCTTGAAGGTCATCGTTGCTCCAATTTGATTGGATCATTTATACTCTAACTCCGCCACTTTTGAATTTCCCGTCAACCAATGAATTTGACGACATCAAAATGCTTGATCGTTGTTGACATATCAGCTTCTAGTATGGACATTTCAGTGGTGCCTTAGAGTGGAATCAACGGAACAAAATTCATCCAACTTTGGTCTCATCTTCCGTATGTACCTGCATTCTATTGCATAACTCTATGGTACTGGAAACGATAGGAGGTTTGTTACTGTTTCCATGGAGACAATATCACTCACTGGGTATGAATATAAATCTGGTTGGTAAGTCTGAAAGTGTGAACCATATGAACGTTTCAAATAAGTTCATGTCGTCATTTGGTGTAACCTCCTTGTTCACAAGTATCCTTATCAATGAAACTTTCGACGTCATTTGTCAGCATTCTAATCTTCTCCACTCCTAGAGTCGGATATCAAATGCCTACTGTTAATGTGTACCATGGATGTACAATTCCAGTTTTAAAACACTCTTTACTGTCAAATAGATGGTGTAGCTCTGGGCAGTCAATTTAGCCCTGTTTTAAGAGATGTACTGATTCCCAACCTTGAAAGAACAAAGTTTTTATTTTTTTGATTACAGCTCGATTCCACACCGTATTTTTGGTACAAGTGTGGAATTTTCAGCATGTGATATCGGTAGTCCAAATTTTGCCGGCCAACCATAGATATCAGGTGTGCGTAGGCAGGGGCTCGAACTCCGGACCATGTGCATGATCGGCGAGAGTCCTAACTGCTGTGACACCAACGCACATACAATCGACGATTCAACTTCTTACTGCCGATATGTAGATGACACATTTGTAATGTGCAACGATGAAAGTCATGCTTCCTACCTACTCGGGCTATTCAGTGGCACACATACAAATATTGAATTTACTCTGAAACATGAATATGATGGAAAGTTCATTTTCTTGACATCATACCATGCAGTGCCTGAAAGATGGTAGCCTCCAGAGATCTGTTTTTACCGAAAGCTGACATGAAATGGACATTACTTACACTTAAATAGTTTTAATCCAAATAGCTATAAACCAGCACCAGTCAAAATTCTGTTCTACAGAGTCAGGAGAACATGCTCAGCAGAGAAATTCGAGGAGGGATTTCCGACTTTCAAAAAGATGTTGAAAAACAATGGTGACACCCTCAGAGATTCATTAATAAGTACAGAAGATGTAAAGATTCAAATGTTGGAGAAATCGAAGTGGGAAAATGTCTATCTTCATTCAACTTGACTTTATACGTGGTAATTTCCACGAGTAATCAATAGAAGACTGAATTCGTCACTGACGAGAACGTATCCTGCGGCTAGCTTTGTTCCCGCTTATCGGAAAACACGCTCTTTGATGCCACCAGCAAAAGTCAACTTTTACTCTCCTTATACTATAAAGACTTAAATATGTCTGCGGAAGCAGTTACACTGGTTTGGAAAAAAGAGAAGGGTGCATCTCCAATTTTCGGAACATATATAACAAAAACCTTATTATCTCAAGGGAATAAACTCTTTCGATAATGCTACTGACAGATATCCCATCAATACAAGTCGTGAAGTTGACATCTCAAAGTTCTTCAAAATTATCAACAGACAAAACGGTTAAATTCTCTTCAAGTTTACAGAAGCAGTCACTATCGAACGCCTGAAAGCTGATTCATGTGTTCAGAAAGAAGCAGTTATCAGGCTGTCTTTGCCACACTGGTAACTGGATGTCTGTATTCCCTGTTTCATTTGATTAGGTAACGCTGAGAATTCCAATCTGTGTGATTGTTATTGTTTGGAATATTGTTTATCCTCGTTTGAATTTGAACTGTCTGGGTAAGTATAATTTAGTTGAGTTTTAGATTTTCCTGTCGATTGATTGAACCGAAGTGCTCGGTTTCAGGTTGACATGTCGACTTCCTGTGCAGATGCTTCCAAAATGTCTGGGCATGTAATTAGAATTTAATTGGTGGATGGTGAATAGCAGTGGAATCCAGGATAAAGCACATTTAGTCCTATTTGGGACTTTTCAGCTAGTGGATGTACCTGCATTCCCCAGTGAGTCAGTGATGATGTTCCCACCGAGGCTGTCAACCTGAGACCGAGCACTTCAGTCCAATCAATCGACGGGAAAATCTAAAATTCAATTAAATAATTAATATAACCAGTTGCACAAGAGGTGGCTGTCGTGGCCCAAGTGGTCTAGTGGATAAGGCTTTGGCTGGTGTTTGAAACTATGGACACTGGGTTCGAGCCTCGGTGAAAACATCATCACTGACTCACTGGGGAATGCAGGTACATCCACTAGATGACGAGTCCCAAATAGGATGAAATGCGCTTTATCTTGGATTCCACTGCTAGTCACCATCCACCAGTTAAATGTCCGGGTAACTATGTTAAAATTGTTTCTGTACATAAATTTAATAATATCTATAGGGTGTTTACGCAGCTGATGAGAAGCCAACGAAATAAACAATGACGGTGCCATCATATTCTGCACAAACACTGTTGTTCTTGCTTTATTCAAATTCATAAAGGGGAATATATGTATGAGGAGTCTGAAACAGAAGGAATTGCACGTCTTGAATACCTCAGTCTTCTTCTAGGATGAACCAAGTAACAATGTTGTATCAATCCACGGGATAATCATAAACATGCTGATTATCAGTAACTTTGACAACACTGGAGCTGAATTTCCCCAGTAAGAATCTGTAAGCATTTACCAAAATCTAATCGTCTAAGTATCATCAAATGGTCGTGTTGGTCATTAATAAATACAAGATACATACAGTTCACAAGGATTACTTAGTTTTCATTGGTGTAGAATGAATTGTTAGCTTGTTTGTATGTATGTCACTATAAATTCAATGGACCAATCAAATTTCAATAAAATATTATCCAATCAAAATTGAGAATTTAATCAGATTAATAATAATCTAGGCGCTAATAGAGAGAGATGCTTATTTGTGTTGTGTTGATTATATTCGACGTGTAAATGTACACATACATCGTTAGAATATAATGATGATGATAATAATAATGTGCACAGATGCCTTCCATGTATGTATGTATCTACAAAAGCATAAATTGTTATCCACTGTTATTTGTTGAAGTAAAAGACACACCTGAGCACAATCATAGAGACAGGTATGATTGTAATTTTTTTAAATAATAGGTAAAAGTATATTGAGATATACGTATGATACACACAATGATATATCTCCAATTTTGATTGGTCAATTAATAAAAATTAATCACGATTTAGTATTTATACTGAAAATATAATATTATATAACATTTTTAAATAACTATAAATAAATACAAAATCTGAATTAAATTTTTGAATTTATTTCAATTGTATTTTCTAATGCTCAAAGCTTATACGACTAAATCTATTACTTCTTAGGATTGTTTAGTGGAATTTATTTATCCCATTTGAGAACCAAAAAATTAATATGTATGGAATAATAAGTGTGCAAAATAATCAATATATTTATAGAAATCAATGAAAAGAAGATATATTTATATTTATATACATGCATACCTATTTATTCAAGATCATGTAAATGATTAATTGATTAATGGCCATTGGGTTTTGGCGGACTATATATTTGGTTATCAAAACTATATGTTATATGAATTTATTAATTATATCAAGAAAATATTTATTGATTATTAAAGTGGTTGAAGCGAATCGATTAGAAGATCAATTCACTGAAGTTGACAATAATAATGATAATGATAATAATGGTAATGATAACAATCGACACTTATATCCACCATTGTATAAACTTGAGTCCTATCATATTCCATCAAAAAACATCGGTCCACCGTTAAACTTTTTTAGTTCTTCTTCATCAGCATCATCGTCGTCTTCGTCGTCGTCGTCTTCTAGTCAACAAGAATATCTACCGATTACTGAATTGGTGAATTTATCTATCCATCAAGTGTACATGAAAATAAATGGAATGCTTATTTAAATAGTGTAAATAATCCATATATCAATAATAATAATAATAATAGTAGTAGGCGTAGGAGTAATAGTATTAGTAATAATCAATCATATCGAACTTCCATTACAAATAATTCATTCAATTCATTATTTACATCCCACCTCCTGAGTCGTCATCATCCTCCTCATCCCCTTCGTCAAAATTAGGTGTAGAATCGATTAAATCTGATATAGCATATGCTCATTTAACCGGTGAATCAAGAACAGAACAAATTCTTAAGCATATACTTACAAATTATAAATCACATCAAAGACCAAATGAAAATTCACTAGATCCAACAATTGTTACAGTGAATATGCAAATTATTGATATCTCTTCAAGTAATGTAGTCCGTATGGAATATACTATGAATTGTTATTTACGTCAACAATGGATTGATCCCCGATTAGCATGGCATGCAAATCCTGTACTAAATAGTTCAGTGAGTAATCTTCTCTTAAATCAACAAAAAAAGCAACTATGGTTACCAGATTTATTTTTTCGTAATGGAAAGTCGGGTTTCCTACATCATATTTCACAACCAAATTTCCTATTGAGAGTTAATTCAAATGGACAGGTGTTATATAGTCAAAAAATTACTATGGTATTAGCTTGTCAAATGTATTTGAAAAATTTCCCTATGGATAGACAAGAATGTACTGTAGATATAGGCTCATATGGATATACAATAGATCAGTTGAAATTTATATGGCATCATGAAAAACCTGTAACTATATCAGATGAATTACAATTGTTAGAATTTGAAAGACCACAAAAAACATATACAACGGTAAGTCAATCAATCAATCAATAAATTATTTGTTTTACTTTTATGAGTGGAATATATAGATTTTTGAGTGTTTTTGAAGTTTTAATAGCGGTGGTATTGTGTTTTTCCAGGGGGGGGGTTTGGGGGGCTGAAGTTGTTAGTCTCACAGTCAACCTCTTCCCTTTCACAGGCTTATAATAATTATGCTAGTAAACTAGGGGAGATTCAGGGGGAGTACTTCGATAGGAAAGGGAATCGAACTCGGAACTCTAATGTACACAGTTGGCGAGCATTAGTGTCACATTGAATCAGGGATGCATACTTATTAACAATAAGAATAATAATTATAGGGATTTGGTCGGTTTACAAGGTGGATTCCGTGTGACACTGGATATTGACTCAGTGGTTGCTTCGTGGTCTGAGGATCTCAATGAGTACTACTAAACAGTTCCTTAGGTTCCGAGTGGAACATAAAGCTTCAACAGCACATCTAAACTTTATCCTATTCTCTGTGGACTTCTTTAGTTAGCCTCACGATTCATCATAATAAAGGTTTTTTGTATTTCCCAATGAATGAAAAACAAAACGATATTGTTGCGTTTTACTGGCGTTTCGCTACTTAATGCTGCTGCTAATAGCTGCTTTATCAAGGTATTATTAGACCGGAATTTAAAAAATCTCAGCATATATATATATCAAAGAGTTAAGGGGTGAGAAAATAGACTTAGGTCAAGTTAAAACGACATATTGAAAGCCAAAATAACAATGAAGATCACTAAACCGAATAACAAAGGTCTTAGTACATCTGCTATGGTATCAAAACAAAGTTTACTAACTTGGTCATCGTTCGCCAGTCTGGGGTCATTTTTCGTCGTCAAGTTGGCCGATTGGTATAGATAACAAAACCTAGTGTAGATTGTTGGATTCGATGAGTGAGTAAAATTATGAAAGCAGCGTGTGTTTACATAATGAAATTGCTTATCACATTCGTGTTGATTTCGTCACTTCATGGGGAGGGAGGTGTTGAACGCATGTTAAATTCTGTTTTAGTCCGTCATTCCTATTCAGACAATTTGGATTCCAGTTGATATGAAGTGCTTCTGATGATATTAGACGTTCTTTGTGATTTCTGAAGTTTTTTTGTATTAATTCAATATTGTGAAAATCAATTTTGTGACCTGATTCTACATCATGTTCACACCTGTGGCTGATGGTTTTTCAAGCTTTTCTAGTTCAACCGGATTTCTCTGTGGTCGATCAGATGCTCTACAGTGTTCATTTCTTCTGATAACCTTGATTTCTCTGTGGTGAGGTTTGTCCGATGTAGATCGCATCACATTCCAAGCATTTTATTTTATAGACACAATTAGATAGAGAATCTTTAGGGATTTGCTCTTTTATGTGGATGGTGGCACAGCAGTTAGGACTCTCGCGATCATGCACATGGTCCGGAGTTCGATCCTCTGCCGACGCACACCTGATATCAATGGTCGGCCTGCAAAATTTAGGCTACCGATATCCATGCTGAAAATTCCATACTTGTACCAAAAAATACGGTGTGGAATCAAGCCGTAATAAAAAAAATTTAAAAAAAGATTGATTCTCAATGTGAGTGTCTGATATTTAGAAGAAAACTCTGATGTCGAGCTGATTGAGTACTCTTCTGATATCGTCTGACGTCTCTACGTAAAAATTACACACTGCTGATGAACGATGATTGAGTTGATATATATATATATATATATATATATAAATAGAGTGGATCTTATAAATTCTGGTTTAATAATACTTTGATAAAGCAGCTATTGGCAGCAGCATTAAATAGTGAAACGTCAGTAAAAACAACAATATCGATTCGTTTTTCATTCATTGGGAAATACAAGAAAACCTTTATTATAATGTATATCATATACCTAATGCCCAAAGTTTATCAGTCTGTTAAAAGTGAACTTGGCTTGGACAAATATAGCCTCACGACTCCTTATAGCTTCTCTACTCTTCCTCTCCGAAAGATCTTCTTCATGTCAGCCTCAAAACAGCGCCGAACTCGTCGTTCCTCATTCGTGTTCAACTGGAGCGATGGCTTGTCACTCGATGGTCTCCCAACTCCATTTTCTCCTACATATTTACTGAACAATAGGTTCTTGGTCAGTTTGTTCCCATAGTTTGTTGTTAGAAACTGCTGTGCTGTTATAAATGCCTCGATATTCTTTAATATTCAGGTAAGACAGAGCGTAACATTCACTAGAATGCATGTATGTTCAGTTGATGTGTCTCAAACAGAGACAGAACCTAGTTTCTGTAGCCCTGTGTTAGTCTTTAACTGAAATATGTAATCAAGTTTGCAGTACGAATCTCCACTTGCATCTCATCAGGTAGAACGAGAAGCCAGTTATAAAATAATATGTGCTTGCACAAAACAAGTACAAAAACTCAACGATTCTCACTCTTTTCGGGCCGCCTAAGTTCTCTTCGATTGAGATCATTTTAAGCGTGAAACTTACGACTTACTGCGTAATTAACAAAATGAACTGGTGCTTTACCCTCTCCTGTTTGTTATCTATGGTGACACTGTTTCAATTATTATTGTCTTATAATTTTGGCTATTAAGATCGTTGTTCTATAATAGAGGAGATTTGTAGCTCAGGTGGATGATGATGTTCTCTGAGCTGGTTGGTTTAGTTGAGGAGCTTTCGTCGTCGTCGTCGTCGTCCTTCTGGACAACATCTTCAGCGCATTTTTTTAGCATTAGGTGAAGTGATTTAAATTTTCCATGAGTGATAGAATTGCGTCTCCCGGTAACCATCTTTACATCTGTGTATTGATCATTTTCTATTGACTTGGATTTTAAACTATCTAGTCACATAATTTACTTTTTATTAGTTGGTATATTTGGTATATACATTAACGTGTTTGTTAATTGCATATTCGTTTGATTACCAGGCTTCTAAGGATTCCCTGACTGCACTTTTGGTGTTTCTTCTGTCTAAAATTTCGACATTATCCCAATCATCAAATTGATGTCCATAATTATCTATATGCATTGATATGAAACAGAAATATATATCATGTCTTTTCACAGCTGATTTGTGTTCCTGAATTCTGATTCAAAGGGGACACCCCCGTTTTGGCCAATGTAATGTCTGTTACACTTCACACAATTTATTTTGTAAAGGGTGTTAATTTTTTATCCCCTTATTCTGTTGGATCCTGTTGGGTTTGCACAATATCGAATTAAGTAATTTGACTGGCGGGTGTGCTACATCTATATATCAAACGGTTTGAAAAATTCTAGCTGTTATTTCAGAGATATTTTTCATGCGTATGGTAGGATGAACTTTCTTGTGGTCTTTGATGATGATTTCTTATTGTTGGTGTTGTGACTCGATTTAAAACACTTTCTGATGAAATTTTGTGGATAACCATTCTTTTGGAGGATCGTTAGTAGGCATTTTTCTTCTATTATTTTCAACTCTGGAGTAGTGCTACAGTGTTGTGTTTAAACTCTCTATTAAACAATGTCTGCACACAGTTTCTTTTGTGAGTGAGTGAGTAGTTGGATTATTGCTAGTATGGTGGTTGAGTATTTGATTTGTGTGTCGGCGTTGATTTTCTATACACCTGTGTTTCTTAATTTCCGGTGTTAGTTTTCCTGATTAAGACATCTAAAAATGGGATTTTATTATAATACTTACACAGTGATACAGTATTAATAAGTGGATGACGAAATTGCGAGTAAATTTTATTGAAATGATTATGAGTGGGAATAATTTATACTGGGGACCTTGTCATCCATTTGCTACTAGAAAGATGTTTCGCTTAACGTTCTACATTAGGAAATTTAGGCAGTCTGGCATAAAGCAGTCTTTGCTTTCTCAGTTTGTCAATTCTTGTATTCTACCCATCCCCCCTTTACTGCTCCCCATTAATCTTTCCTGGACTACTTAAGAAAGACTTTGCTTTGCTGAGAAGGGCACTAAAAGCCGTTAGTAGGGCAAGTGGGATTTCGTCAAACCAACTGGTTAACACTATTATGGATAGACATATAATGTTATGTAAGAAACTAGCGAATACAATATTGTCAGACCCCGAGAATCCTCTCTATACGCAGCTGTCTCCTTGCATTTCATCTGGTAGAACTAGAAGCAGCTATAGGTGGCTATATGCTAGGACTACCAAATACAAAAACTCCATAATACCATATCTGGCACAGCTGTTATGTGATGAGAAATCCGTTAGGTATGACACGATAAACTTACTGCGGCACTCTAACAAATAGTCCCATTAGTTTTTGTTTTCCTTTCCTCGTTACTATTACACTGTTGTTCTCATCTTCTATTCACACATCAACTTTATATTTCATATCCTGTGGTGCATTGTTTGAAATGTAAACTCTACGCTGTTTGTTCGTTTTTTTATTTATATTTATCTTTTATTTTTTTGGCGTTGGTTTTTAATTTACTTATTTATTTTTTGATTTTAAAAATCTTATATAATTTATGAGGTAATTAGATGCAATATACTGTAATGCACGCTGAAAATTCCATACATGTACCACAAATACCGTTTGGAATAAAGCTGTTATTATTATTATTATTGTTAATACTGCATCATCACTGTGTGAATAATAAATAAATAAATAAACTCATCTGATTTGGCTGTTGAGTACTTGAGTGCTGGTGAATGTATCATTTTACATGTCTCTACCATAACCTAGGTGCAGGATTATACTTTCTAAGTGCTGAGTCATTCATTGCACTGCATTCATTGGCATGTAATCACAAAATAGGGTGAAGGGGACAGGCTGAGAGTATTCATAGGAAAGATAGAGGTGTTAATCACTGCAGCTATGTTTATCGATTCAGTATCGCAAACATGCAGTTGGAATGATGCAACATATTAATACATGTGTGTAAAACTTGAGCACTATGGTAATAAGTAATCCCATATTAGTTTGTTTATTGGATGTATCACACAGGGAGTATAAAACAGTATTATTATTTACTGGATGACAAGGTTTC